GTGACAAAAAAAAAAAAAAAAGAAAATTGATTCCCTCTTCTTGTTCAGGGACTTCACACTGAGCTACATCTCCAGCCCTTTTTAATTTTTTAAAATTTTGAGACAGAGTCTTGCTAGGTCATTAAATTACCTAGGCTGGACTTGAACTTGGAATCTTCCTGCCTCAGCCTCCCAAGTGCTGGATCACAAACTGACCCCAGGTTGCACTGATGCTGGGGTGGGGTGGCCCCCCTCAGCCACGACTGCACCTGCATAGTCAGCACTGCGGGCCCCCGTGAGGAGCCGGGATGGGCATCGCGGGCGGGGAGCACAGCCAGCCGTCTGGGTTCAGCCCATCGGCTCAGGGTGGGTCCAGCAGGTGCCATCACTGTTCCCCTTGGGGGAACATTGAGGCCCAAAGAGCCCCCTGACTTGTCCAGGTGGAGCCCCTGGCGATGTGCAGAGCGGAGATCTGAACCCCGGGTGGATGTGTCGGCCTGTGCTCTTCACTGGGCAGCAGTTTTCTCTGTGGTGGCTTCGTTCCCCTGAGGCCCGGCTGTGCCCGTGCTGACCCAGGCTCTGGGTGGCTGTCCATCTGTGGGGCCGCTCAGGAGTTCCGCAGGTGCTTTTGAGCTGACGTTTGCTTGCTTGGACCTGGGGTTCAGCCTGCATCTGTGTGGCTGCCTCGTGGCTGGCCTGAGCGTGGACCCAAGTCCAATCCTGTCCTTGTTTTATGAGACAGGGTCCCACTCTGCAGCCCAGGCTAGGCTAGAACTTGCAGGGATCCTCCTGTCTCAGCCTCCTGAGTGCTGGGATCCCAGGTGTGCATCCCATGCCTGGCCTCAGAAGGTATTTCTTACACCCAATGTCAAGCACAGGCCTCACAGTGTGAGCGCGTTCGCTCCGGCCGTGGTGCTGTGTGCCGAGCAGCCAGCTGTCTGAGGGGTGATGATGTCCCCGTCGGCTCCCTCTGCTCCGCTGCTGAAGCACAGCGTGGCCCCGCTGGTCTGTGGTGTCCTTGTCACCCTGGAGCTGGACCCCTTGGCGGCTTGGAGGTGGCAGGTGGTGGACAGGGAAGCCGGCCTGGTGCCCTCTCCGCGGTGCCCCCGCTTCCTGCCTCGCCTGCCCGAGGGCAGTGGGAACATCAGACCCGCAGTGGCCCCCGGCCAGCCTGTCCCTCTGTTCCTGGAGCCCACCCTGTGCTGTCTTTCTGGGCCTCCCCTGGCCCGTGGGGAGATGGGCTGTCACAGCCTCCTGCTGGGCCTGTGGGGAAGTGAGCGCTCCTGTCCCTGCCACCACCCGTCAGTGCCCACCGCGGGGCGCCCGGGCGGCAGCGCAGCTCCTGGTGCTCCGGGCTCTTCAGGGGCCACAGTTCTCCTCAGGGCCACCAGCTTCCCTGCTGCTGACAGACCCGTGTGGCGAGAGCCCAGAGTTGCTGTCGCCCTGAGCGCCCTCTGAGGGTGCTGTCTGCTCTTCCCAGAGGCCTCAGCGTGGTCCCCGATGAGGAGGTCATCGAGATGTACGAGGGCTCGCACGTGCCCTTGGAGCAGATGAGCGACTTCTACGGAAAGGTGCGGCTGGGCCGGGCCTCCCGCCTGCCTCTCCCTGCTCTCCCGAGTCCCCACCTTTGTGTCACTGTCCCTCAAGGTGACACTAGGGGCTGTCAGTTCAGTGGGACCAAGATGTGGAGCCGGCCGCGGGGAGGGAAGGGAAGGGATGGGGCCACACTGTCCCCGTCTTCCAGGTGAGACATGGGACGCTGAGGCAGGAGGGTCCCAAGGTCCCGCCCAGCCCGTGCAGTTTAGCTCCTTAGTGAGACACCATGTCTGTCTCTGAATGTTAGAACCTTCCTTCTTCTGTGGACCATACGGGTCCCCTTCGTCACTGGAAGCCCTGTTGCCTTCCCGCCTGTGTCCCCGGGTCTGAGCCCCCCTCCTGTCTGCAGAGTTCCCATGGCAACACCATGAAGCAGTTCATGGACATCTTCTCCCTACCGGAGATGACGCTGCTGTCGTGTGTGAACGAGCACTTCCTGAGGAACAACATCGACTACGAGCCTGTGCACCTGTACAAGGACGTCAAGGTGCCCGGAGCTTCTGGGGAGCGCCTTTAACCTGCTGTGTTGCTGGGCGTGGCAGTGGTGCGCTGTGACCCCAGCACTCGAGGCTGAGACAGGAGGGTACCGCGAGTTCGAGGCCAGCCTGGGCTGCGTAGCAAGCAGCCTAGCAAAACAAACAACCAAGTCCCGTGGGAGAGGGACATGGACAGAACCTTCAGCCATTCTGGGTTAGATTCCTGATCACACACGTCTGTGCGTTTATACGCTTTCCTCAGGTCGTAGGAGCTGTCTCAGTACCTAACGTGTTTATATATTATTTACATGATGCCTATTTATGTGTACTTATACCATATAATACCTCGGGCGTGTATTTACATGTAATATATATTTACTTAAAATATGTATATTTTTAGAAGATACGTACAACCTAAAAGCATATTTTGTTTTTATGAGTAAAGTTTTGACTGGGATTGGGAAGATAAAGGATATATTGTAATTTCTCAATATCAGTCTGGTATTATTTGAGCTAAATTTAAACATTTATTTATTTAGACTTTTGGAGACAGGGTCTCACTAGTTAGTCCAGGCTGGAGATCCTCCTGCCTCAGCCTCCCGAGTGCCGGGATTACAGATATGCACCATGGCACCTGGCTAGGTTTACATATGTAGTTTCTGTTTTTCTGTGCATGGACTCTTCATCTTTCACAGTCACTGCAGTGCCCCTGCATTTATTGGTGCGCTCAGTGTGGACTCCATGTTAGCGACTGTTGCGGCCCTGTTCCTCTGAGTGCGTTGTGCCTGTCAGGATGTCAGGATGCAGCTGCCCTTGCGTTGTTGTCCTGCATCGCAGATGAGGACAGAGGCACACAGAGGCCAGGTCCCCTGCCCAGCTCACATGGCACATCCGTAGCAGAGCCCGGGTTTCCAGGCCTGGCCGGCGGCTCCTGTGTAGCCGTCGCTGCTGCTGCTGCTGGTGGAGGCCATGAGGCCGGGCTGGGGCCGGGCTGGGGCCGAGCGTCCCTCCGGCAGAGGCCCCTCTTTCCATGTAGGTGTCAGCAGTTTTGCCTGCAGCCCAGACCTCTGCCTCTGGACGCCCTGTTCGGTGTCCCTGGGAGTGGATCAGGGTCCCCATCCAACAGCGGCCACCATAGCTGAACCTGCAGGGGGCGTCTCCTCTGTCCCTCTGCCCCTGCCCAGTTAGGTCACCTCTGCGAGGGACCGGCTTGGCGATGCTCTCCTGTCCACTGCTGGTACCCGAGACGGGGCTGCGCTGTTCCCTGCCCCTCTTGCCCAGCTGCAGCCCCTTGGGGCTGGGATGGCGGAGCTGGGCGGAGTGTGGCTGTCCCTGCAGGGAGCTGTGGTCATCGTCCAGGACTCCGCCGCAGGACTGTTGTCCTGTGGGGCCTGGTTCAGAGTCCCTCACACAGGTGATCTCTTCCCAGTGAGCCTTCCCCGGGCTGCAGCAGAAGCTGCCACTGTCAGAGGGCACCCAGGCTCTGCCCACGGGCGCCTGTGGCAGGTGGAGTGGAGCTTAGATCTGCCCGGCGCGTGTCCGGCTCATGCTGACCGTCACTGATGTGCCGCTTTCTCTGGACAGGACTCCATCCGGGACGTGCACACCAAAGGGATCATGTACCGAGCCATTGAGGCGGACATCGGTGCGTATGGCCGGGCCAGCCTCGTGCTCCGGGCCACAGGGCCTCCCCCAGTGTCTCACGAACCCCGCGCTCCATCCCGCCTTCCCGCAGGCCTCCTCCTGTTGGGAGGAGCTGGTGACTGAGGCCACTTAGCCCCCGAACCAAGCTTCCGTGCGACCCCGTTCCCCACCGGGCCTAGGGCGGTACTGCCCCGTCCAGTGCCCTGAGGCTGGCCGGCTCCGCCCCATGTGGCCTCTCGCTCGCTCGCTCGTAGAGAAGTACATCTGCTACGCGGAGCAGACCCGCGCGGTGCTGGCCAAGCTGGCCGACCATGGCAAGAAGATGTTCCTCGTCACCAACAGCCCCAGCAGCTTCGTGTGAGTTGGCGCGGCCTCGCCTTTGGCCGTCTTTGTCGCACTTGGAAACCGCAAAGAAATAGGTGCAAAGAATAGTTCATCCCGTTAGCCTCGGACCATGTGGCCTTCTTGTTCCAGGGACAAAGGGATGAGGTACATCGTCGGGAAGGACTGGAGGGACCTGTTTGATGTGGTCATCGTGCAGGCCGAGAAGCCCAACTTCTTCAACGATAAGCGGAGGTGAGCGCAGTCTTTGCTGTGGACTCACTGGGAGGCCTGGGAGATCTCGTGGCGCACACAGGAAGCCGCCTGCCCTGCTCCTGGGAACGCAAGCTGAACAGCCACGGGGGGACTCCCTGCGGAGACCCTCAGGAAACCAGAACCAGGGGTTCCCTGTGGCGGCCGTTCCGCTTGCAGGTGTCTCCCAAAGAGGGAAAGTGCTCAGTGTCGGGGACCCATGCGCACTAGGTGTACGGCGGCAGAGCTCACGGCGGTGAATCCTGCATGTCCGTCAGATGAGTGATAAAGTAGTATTTATATAACGGAGCGGTACTGTGCCATAAAGAAGATAAACTTGAGCTGTTTGTGGGAAAATGGATGCGCCCTGATAACGTGACGTGAACTAAACATCACATGCGTTCTCTCACACGAGGAGCCCAAGTATGAAGAGCAGACTCACAAGTAGAGGACAGGAGGGTGGGGCGGTGGGTCTGTCTCAGATGGAG